GCTAGTTTTCAGAAAAATGAAAAATGAAGCCTTAGAGATTTATCTCGAAGTTACTCTGTGCAAGGTAATTTAATTTCAGAACATTTATTTAAATAAATATATCGTTTCAAGCTACACTAAAAATTTAATATTTTCTTTAAGACGGAAAGCTAAAACGGAAAGTCACGCTCTACGGAAACTCTTATCTCGCGGATGTAATCTTTTGTAAACAAAAACAAGTAAAGATATTTTCAGAAGAACACGGAAGCCCTTTGGGAGGTCATTGTGGTGAAACAAAGTCAAAAATTATGGAAAAATACTTTTGGCCAAACATAACAAAGGATATTGTACAATGGGTAGGTAATCAGCAATTACACAAATAAGTCAGTTGAAATTCTAAAACTGAATAAAAGTTGCAACTTTCTTAACAGGTAAAGGAATGCAAAGTATGTCAAACATCTAGTACACTTCTTTCATCAGTAGAGCCGTTACGTTCAATTAAGGTAAGAATGCTTTTTATAAGTATAATAAAAACAGTCTGTATCAGGCTTTCTCAGGAAACGCGTGCGGTCGCACGCCTTGAATGACCACGCATATTTGTTTTTTTGCTGTTAACTTGGCCACGATTTTATTGCATATAATATATGCAATAAAATCGTGAATGACCACGCATGATTGTTTTTTTTGTTGTTAACTTGGCCACGATATTATTACTTTAAATATACGCAAAAAAATCTTGGCCAAGTTCACATTTAAAAAAAAAAAAAGATGCGTGGTCATTTAAGGCGTGCGACCGCACGCGTTTCCTGAGAAAGCCTGCTATACATATACATATATATATATATATATATATATATATATATATATATATATATATATATATATATATATATATATATATATATATATATATATATATATATATATATATATATGTATATATATATATATATATGTTTTTTTTTAAAACAATGTATATTCATTTAGACCGATGCAATTACACATTAAATAATACTTATCTTTTTATTAACGTTTATTTAAGTAATAACTAATTGGTTTTCTATAATACTACAATAATACTCTCTTAATCTTGAAATAATTTATATTTATTATACAATAGTATATATTTACTATACTTTCTGAATGTTCGCTGACTTAAAATAAAAATGAAACAATAACATCATTCAATGTTGGTTTATATGTAATAAAATATTTTAGACAACTCGAGTATGGGAAATTGTAGGTATTGATTTTGCAGGACCCTTTACGCAAACAACGATGGGCAACAAATATTTTCTAAGTTGCACTGATTTGTTTTCTAAGCTTCTTTATTTGGTAAAGCCATATGCTTTACCAAATAAAGAAGCTGTCACTGTTGCAAAAGCAATTATTCAGTTAGTAACAACTTTTGGATTTCCTTCGGCTATACTTTCAGACAACGGAACTGAGTTTTGCAACCAGGTAAAATGATATGGTCATATTTTGTAAAACTCAATGGGACCGTTAATTGATTATACTAATCGTAATTTTTTAGTTAAACGATGAAATATACAAAACACTGGGCATTGAAAGAAGAAAAACAGCTGTTTATCACCCACAAACCAACGGGCAGGATGAAAACACCAATAAAAATATAAAAAGGTGACAGTAATTTTTGCTTAGGGTGAGGACCGAATAATGATGTTTAGCATTGATTTGAGCTGTGATGTTTATATTAAACAGATTTTAGACGTGTAACTAAATTTTGCTTGTTCTATCACATACACTCTATTGACGATGGTTTCATATTTACTGAATAGTTCAAGATCAACTTATCCAACATATTTTAGTATATATTGTAATGTATGTATATTGCAATGTATGCGAATATTGTTATAGTATGTTTATTATTATTTTATTTTGCATTTCATCTCTTTTGTTAAATGTAAATGCGTTTTCCACTGTAGAAAATTAAGGAAACTGGTTAATGAAAATCAAACAATTTGGGACGAATATCTTGCTGTTATTTTATACCCACTGCGAGTGGAGAGACAACAATCTACGAAAGTATCCCCGTTTGAAATAATGTTTGGCGGTCGATCACCTGTTTATAATAGTGACTTTGAAGAAGTAAAACGGTTTTTTATTATAAATTCATACATTAAAAATGTTTGCATTAATTACACTGGATCAATAACGAGTTTATGTATCAATTTAGAACAAAACTTTAGTGGAAGCAACAGTTGAAGATATAACAAGAGAAACGGAAGAAAGAAAACTTCAAATTAAAAATCTCACAAGTTTGTTTTATGAGGTTCGATTGGAAAGACCTTATCCTAAATTATATATATATATATATATATATATATATATATATATATATATATATATATATATATATATATATATATATATATATATATATATATATATATATATATATATATATATATATATATATATATATATATATATATATATATATATATATATATATATATATATATATATATATATATATATATATATATATATATATATATATATATATATATATATATATATATATATATATATATATATATATATATATATATATATATATATATATATATATATATATATATATATATATATATATATATATATATATATATATATATATATATATATATATATATATATATATATATATATATATATATATATATATATATATATATATATATATATATATATATATATATATATATATATATATATATATATATATATATATATATATATATATATATATATATATATATATATATATATATATATATATATATATATATATATATATATATATATATATATATATATATATATATATATATATATATATATATATATATATATATATATATATATATATATATATATATATATATATATATATATATATATATATATATATATATATATATATATATATATATATATAGAAATACAATGCAGATAAACATAAACAAAATCAATCCTCTAATTAGCTTTAATAATTAATAAATAATAATGAAAGAATTTAAAAAATTAGTGAAATTGTTTTGTTTTAGAACATTACAGATGCTCAAAACAAGCAAAAGCTACACTATGATATAAGAGTATTAAAATGTACAAAAATAGTTGAGGAGTCCATTGGTGTCGAAGATTAAGTATTGTTACTTGACATAAGAGGTCGATGTTTAAAAAGCGCAGCATTCAAGCCACGCTTTAAGGGACCGTTTACTGTATCCTATGTAACGCAATGTGGAAACTTTAGGTTAAAAGACGACAACAGCGTGCAAATATCGGGGTCGCACAAAAAATACATGTAAAAAAGTTCATTGAAAGTAATGTAAAAGGTAAAATGAATATGTTTTTTTAAGTAGTCATTTTTTTGTTTCATTGCTAGTTAGCTAGAGATTTAGGTGTTATGCAATTCTGTTATGGTACTTTTTTTTAGATAATGTCAGTGTTATAGATTTGGCTAATAACAATATTTCGATCGACAGAACACAGAGTAATTATCAATTTATGCCACATATACATAGTTTATTTAATTTAAAAAGTTAAAATTAATAAAGATTTTTTTTTAGAGGTTGTTGATTTAAAGGTACAAAGGGCAAAGGTAGCCAAAGGTCAGGGAACGAACAACAAAGTTTCAAAGGACGCAAAATTCGATGAAAAAGGTCAAAGTTGTGTTATCGAAAACAGTGAGGGTATATCGACTATAGTAGCTTTGCATCTTTAGTAAGCAAAGTTGAAAATCTTTGTTTTTTAAATGAAGATTATTGTTTATTATAATGGTTATTTGTAAAAATTAGTAACAATAAATTTAATCTCCATTACATTTTAGGATTTGGAATAATTGAATGCCTTACAAATCTAAAACCAGTTAAAGCAATAATGGGTTTATTTAATGAAATGGGGGACAGTAAAATATATGACTACTCACTGAAAGAAACTCTAACTGATTGTCTAAGTGATGAAATAGTTTACATTTATCTGAGGTTACTTGCGAGCAAACAAGATAAGGTAAGATTAATTCAAAATGACGCAGCTATGTATTAATATTATTTTATTGTGTAATAAATCTACAAAATAAAATCCTCAATTGTTAACCGGTTAACAATACTTTGTTTTTATAAAATAAACATTGCAAGGTAAGTAACAATACTTCGTAAATAAAGTTTTTTTTTTACATGTAAGAATGCAATTGAAGTACTAGCACCAGCCGGATTGCTGTCGTTGGAAAATTTACCAAAAAAAACTGCTCTGAATCGAAGGAAACATATGGTATTAAACACTGAAAAAAAAAATTAAATATAATGTCACTGAAAAAAAAAAAAAAATAAACTTTATTAAATCATTTAAAGCTTTAATTGAAGTATAAACAATGACACAAAAAGGTAAATAGTTTGAAATATTTTCCCCCTTTATTTGCGTAAATTTATGCACATATGGCCGTTGGTGCAAAGGCTGGGTGCAAGTATTATAAAGAACCATTTATCATAATATTTGGGACAGGACAAAATATATTTTACATAGTCACCTAATTGTGTCACTTTTTATTTATAACAATTGCGACATATAAATAAATATCATATTTATATGCAGGATGAGTTATTCAAACGAGATATAATTATGTGCTGTGTTGTTTTAAAACATCATTGGACACTAACAGTAAGTCAAACGCTCCTAACTCCTCGTTAAATAAGATTTGTGGTATATTACATCAAAATGAATAAATGAAATGGGTTATAAACAATATATAAATATAAATAGAGTACATATAACAATATATAAATAACATAAACAATACAAATCATTATTTTATAAAAATAATGTAATTAAATTTATTTATAAATATAAAACGAACATGAAATTCAAGTGAAACAATAGTATCATTGCAATATTATAAATACCTTTTGTTCCAGATAATCAAACCAAAGGAAAAATGCTTGTATTATATAAATCCTCTGGGTGAACTATTACCTACATTACAAAAAGAAGAAAAAAAAATGGAAGTATGACATTATTCAATGAACAACGCATTTATTTAATAAAATTTAATGTTGTTCTTAAAAATTGATCTTGTTATATTTAAATAATAAAATTATTTATTTTTTAAATTTCAGTAGCTATTTGAAACAGAGATATGGAATTTCAGAAACATTTAAAATACTGACATTGCCACATGCACTGCAAAAAGATAGCATTTCATGTGGAGTCTTTTGTCTTAAAGTAACAATAAATTGATACTTGTTTTTTTATTTTGTTCTATTTTATTTATTTTCAAGTTTCTTACCAAATAAATATAATTATTATTTACTTGTTTTTTGCTATAAAAACATGTTACAAAGATATCTTTGTTTCTGCATCACTTGCGTTAACAGTGAACTGGTTTAAAGTAGCAGCCGTTTAGCTCAATATATAAAATAGCAGTCGTTTAGCTCAAGTGGTAGAATGTTTGTCTTAGACTCTAGCAATCTGGGGTTCAAAACTCAACTCCGGACAAGTCTTTATAAATCAATTAGGAAGGAGGGGTAAACTTCTCAATGCTTCTCTGCGATGCTCTGTGATAAGACCGTAAAGACTTCTCAGGGCACCTAAAACAAATTAAAAATAAAGTCACAACACATCCATCTAATCATCAGATTTTCTGTTCTTTCCAAACAAAGGACATCATAAACCTTAATTGTCTGTGTTTCACTGAAATGCATAACAATAATCTGAGCACATGTGGTATATATCTCCCTTTTAAACTTTAATGAAGCACCTCTTTCTGATAGTAGTAAAGATAATTCTCTTAACATAGCCCAGGCACTTCCTACACACTCCACATGATCACTTCCCAGTATTTACTTTTTGCTCATTCTTGACTTTAAAATGCATAACTTTTGTCTTATTCTTGTTTACCTGAAGCCCTTGTGCATCCATTTCCTCTGTATCTGTCTACAATTAGGCATAAATCATTAGTATACAACAGCTCTCATGACAAACTAACTCAGCATTCTTTGGAAATAAAACAATAATAAAAAATGAAGTAGTGATTACTGAACCATGATGTACAACAAAATTAACTCTCCATCTTTTCTTTATGGAAAATTATAAATTCCCCTTTTTTTTAAGTGGCTCAATACGACCCTGTTTAATAAAATACTTATCATAATAATAACAAGAGTTTTATAACAAAACATAACAAGTATTACAAAATATAACAAAATTTTATAGTTTGCTGAAAACTTTATAAATGGTGAAGACCTGGTAAAGACCTTTTCATTAGAAGAAGTAATCATATATCGAAATGACATTGTGCACTGTCTTATAAGCAGAGGAGGTTTGTTATGTATTTATTTAACTAAAAATTAGAAATGAAATCGTAAACAATTATAACAATAGACAAAACTGAATCTCAGGTCAAAAGAATTGGAAAGATGTTCTATGTCGCCTATGCGGAAAAGAAAAAGGACCAAAAACACATAAAAAACATATATTAGACAAATGGGTATAAAATTTAAATTATAAAAATGTCATTAAATTTATAATCATATTATGAAACAACTACTATATATGATTTATTTATAGATTAAGTGTGATAAATGCTTACCAAGTCGATGGTATCATATGGACTGTATTCCAAATGTTCTAGATAGCAGCAATTTATTTACTTGCGCAAACATTTCTCCTTAAAACAAACAAGTAGTAAATGTTGAAATAAAGTTGCATAACTATAACATCTTTAATATAAAAACGGTTTTTAACTTGATTTTAATAGTAACTTAGACAGCATTATTTTAATATTTTTTCATAAAATATTCTAATTTCTAATTTGATTCTAGGAATCCAAAATTCTTTTATCAATATTTTAAATTTTTGTATTGCAGTTGAAAGAAACAAAGAAGAATTTGTAAAAAAGTATATGTATCATGTTTATTACTGTAAATATAAAATTATACAAATGCTTTGTTTAGAATCTTTTCTTTTTATTCCTCTTCAGTAAACTACATCTTTTTTATAAAGTAATTTCATTAAAATCTGTTTAAATAAAATAATACAACAAAATTTTATAAAAATTACTGCAGAAAAAAAAAAACATTCGTGAACAATTAGGTATCCCAAAAAAAAAACATTTGAAATACCAATGTGTGGAAAATTAAAATTACTATCAAAATGTATATGTAGTTAATAGCAAAAGTTTCAGCTCTCCAAATCAAAGCTAAGGTTAAAAAGATGTTTTAAAGCAATATCCCTGTATATTAAATAGACACTTTGCCTAAGGATATCACATAAAAACACCTTCTTTACAATAGAGTTGATATGGAAAGATAAAACTTGATTTAAAAATGATAAAAACACTTTCGCAAAATACCATTCTCACTGTTTACTAGGGTGAAGTGATAAATCAGACATAAGACAAGTTATTTACTAAGAAGGAAGTGATAAATCAGTCACATATAAAACAAATTCTAAAGTATTTACAACAAAAATACATAACTAATAAATTTATAGTTGTATAACTTGTATCACTATCGCTCAATACCATTGTCACACAATACCAAGCTTAGTGATTTACTAGGGGGGAGGTGATAAATCAGCCTCATATAAAACAAATTTTAAAGTATTTACAACAACAATACATAACTAATTAACTTATAGTTGTATAACTTCTATCACTATTGCTTAATACCATTGTCACACTATCTCAAGGTTAGTGATATACTAGGGGGAAGGTGATAAATCAGCTACATATAAAACAAATTCTAAAGTATTTACAACAAAAACACATAACTAATTAGTTTATAGTTGTATAACTTCTATCACTATATCTCAATACCATTGTCACACTATCTCAAGCTTAGTGATTTACTTGGGGGGAGGTGATAAATCAGACGTAAGACAAGCACTTTACTAGGGGGGAGGTGATAATTCATTCACATATATAACAAATTCTAAAGTATTTAAAACAAAAATGTATAACTAATTATATTATTGCTGTATAATTTCTATTACTATCGCTCAATACCATTGTCACACTATCTCAAGCTTAGTAATTTACTAGGGGGGAGGTGATAAATCAGCCACTTAAAACAAATCTGATAAAAAGAAACTATCAGATCCTATGACTGATAAATCAGTCACATATAATTCAAATCCTCAAGTATTTACAACAAAAATACATAACTAATTAATTTATAGTTGTATAACTTCTATCACTATCGCTCAATACCATTGTCACACTATCTCAAGCTTAGTGATTTACTAGAGAGGAGGTGATAAATCAGACGTAAGACAAGTAATTTACTTGGGGGGAGGTGATAAATCAGTCACATGTAAAACAAATCCTAAAGTATTTACAACAAAAATATATAACTAATTTATTTATGGTTGCATAACTTCTATCACTATCTCTTAATACCATTGTCACACAATCTCAAGCTTAGTGATTTACTACGGGTAAGGTGATAAATCAGATGTAAGACAAGTAATTTACTAGGGGGAGGTGATAAATCAGTCACATATAATTCAAATCCTCAAGTACTTACAACAAAAATACATAACTAGTTAATTTATACTTACAAATTATAGTATAATTTATATCGCTATTGTTTTTTTTTTAATTACCTTTCAAAAATATGGAGTTGGAACATCACAACAGACCGAGTAACTTTTATTTCTAGAATTGTTGACCTTGTCTTTCCTTTAAGTTGTTGTTGTTGAAGTTTATTGCGCTAAACGGGCGTCGTAGGTACAATTCTAACAGCTATAAACTAAAAGCGCAATCTCGTTTTGAGTTTTCTATGGGGGAGGTGATAAATCAGGCGGAGGTGATAAACTACTACAAATAACGCAAGATAATTTCAAAATATCAGGAAATTTTCCATTTATCAATGAGATAATAAATAGGTTAGAAAAAATATTTGAAAAATCGTTGTTAAAATCTATTAGATTATTTGTGGGAATACTGTTTGGGCCTAATGATGTTATTTAATTCAATTTCGATATAAGAGATGAAATTTCAGAATTATTTGTTGGAGATAATAATAGACTATGTAAATTTGGATGTTTAAGATATTTGTGATAGGCAATGTAAGACAAATGAATATAGGATTTGAGTTTCTGAGCAACATTTGTAAAAAACAACATTTGTAAAAGTGTTAAATGATTCAGAGATTAAAGTCGGGTCAATCAATCAATATATTTCCACTTAATAACTGCATATATATATATACAATAGTGAGGGACATTTACAAACAGTTAAAAACTGATGATGCGTAAAGACCTAACCAGTTATATATGTATCATTTTGTATGTATATGTATCATTTATATGTATTATATGTTATATTGTATTATGTTATATTATATATGTATTATACATTATATGTATCATTTATATATGTATCATCATATATCAAGACCAGTTATATATGTATCATTTTTTTGTAAACAGTTAGGAGGTGATTTATTTAAATTTTTACGTTAAGTAAAGTGTTAATACCTTTCCAAAGTTTGCGAAGATTTTTAACATTTTCTGAGTAAAAAATTTTAAAATGGTTTTTTTTACTAAGTTTAATTAATGTAAATATCATATATTTATATCTTTTAAAAATACTTTCATATTTTTTTTTTATTAATAAGATCTTTAGATCTTAACAATTTTTTTTTGAAAAAGATTGAGCACTTGAATAGATTTTATAATTCCTTTAGTAATTCATGGCTTGAATCGACGTTTGAAGTTTTTTATACTGTTTCTCTTTAACTGGGGCGTAACGATCTAAAATCAATGTTGTTTCAGTAATAAACGTTTGAAAACATGTGTTAGTATCATTGGACTTTGCAATATCGTACCAGTCAATTTTTGACAAATCATATTTAAAGTTTTCTTTATTGAAGTTTTTAAAACTCCTGCTAAATAAATTGTGTCTGCGTGGTATAAATAATTTATTGAAATTGGGACAAATACAAAATTGAGGTAAGTGATCAGAAACAGAAGTTGTCAAATTTTCTGAAACAATTTCATTAGCTATTAAACTAAAGAAAATATTATCAATAATTGTAGCAGAGTGATCAGTAATTCTAGTCGGCAAAGTAATAAAAAGGCGAATATTATAAAAAGAAAATAAGTTTAAAAAATCAGATGTCGCAACGTCATTATTTGATTGCAGGTGTAAAAATCATTAAATCATCTCTTCGTTTGTATATTAGTTTTTTTGATAAATATAGTAAAGTACCGCCACAAGAGGATTCCGTTGGTGTCTGCACATTGTTGTAATTATCAATAAGAATCGGATGAATTGAGGATGTTCCTTTTTTTAACCTTGTTTCAGTTATACTAATAATGGAAAAAATCAAAATTAATTAATGATAATATTATGTTTAATTCTTCAAAGTGTTTTTGTAACGATGATATGTTTAGATGAAAAAAGGAGAGAGCGCTTATTTTATTAAAATTAAGTGTACATAATTCGCTTATGTCATAAATAAGAATATAAAACACGAGATGAAACATAATTATTAATATGATTTGAGACAGAGGTAAATCATCAGTTTTAAGAATTACATCTAAAGAAAATAGCAATTTAAATTCATTATCTTGTACATCTGTGAATGGAAAGATACTTTTAATACAGTTTAAACAACTCCGCAACGAGCGACTTAATTGAAGTAAACTGTACTGAGTATCATTAAGCCTGTCACATTTTGTATGAAACCAAAATAAACAAAATATTACATTGAGATGAGCGGCAACTTTGACTAATTAATTTTCTACACAAATGACAGTTTAAAGCTATAGTGGAACCACATTATTAGAGAAGTGTAAGAAACAATAAGTAGGAAGTAAATAGCTATGTTATAAATATTTGTTAAAGTAAAAAACTATAAAAATTATCTACTCTTTCAAGAAACAGATCTTCTTTCCTGATCTTCCTATTAATTTATCAACTTATCTCATTTTATTTAACTATTTTTCTTTTCTTTTCTTTTTCTTTTTTTGTTAAGTAAAAATCGATATTCGAATTTTCTTTCATTTGTTTTTTAAATGTTGTTTTTGAGTGTTTATTTGTTAAAAGTTTATTTTTTTATAATATGTTTTTTTGTTTTACTCTTCTTTTATTTTAATATTTTTTCTTTATTTGAAACAATTAGTAATTAATTCAGTTTTTAAATGCCTACCTTTATTTCTTTTTTCCTTTTCAACGGTTAAAAAAACACGACCGCCATCTGCGATGACCTTGCAAAGAAGCCAACTATTGTCAACATTACTTATAAACACAGCATTTAAAATATTAAAATCATATTTATCATTTAATAAATAATGAATATTATTAGCGTGGTTGAGATAAATCCGAAAAATTTTAATGAAAGTTTGGCAGAAAGACATTACAAAGTTGCCTGACATTACTTTGAGAGACGTGATGAGTTTTCTCATCGACACTCCTGGTGAGTTTACTAAAGAAAATACTAAGACATACAAGTCATTGCAAGCATATAAAACATATTTTTTGTGTGGCCACGTGCAAGATTGTTTGTATGCTCCAAGTATCAATGAAGACTATTGTTTTATAAAAACTAAGGTTATATATTATAGACATTGATTTCTAAACTGATTTGTATGCTCCTAATTGTTAGGAGCATACAAATCAGTTATTATTAGGCTAATAATATTAAGATATAAGTAATATTAGACGAGTTTTGTTCACGATAAATATTTTCTTATTTTACTAGCAATAGATCTTTATTTAAGTTCTTTCAAACCAGAGAGTTAGCGTAAAGAGTTGCATGT